TCGCTAGCTAGAGAATCACAAGTTGGATTCGGTTAATTTTCCATAACTGATGTTTGTTACTCTGGTTTTAGTTTCTGAAGACCATCGAAAGTTCCGGGGGAACGGGAAGTACTGCCGTCCGTCTCGACTCTTCTAGGGAGCGCGAAGTGGTTTTTCCGCCTGAAATCGGTCCTCTGAAAAGTCTGTACGGTTCCACTGTGGAAGAGCGCCTGTCCATATTACAAGCCCATTATCAGATGCAGCGCCAACAAAGACCATCCCAGGTTGCATTTCAACCTTTCGAACTTGGTCCTCTAGATTCAAGCATGTCAGAGGATGCCCTAGATCCACGTGCAGCAACCATTCGTGGAACTTGCATGGATATGTGCCCGGAGTTGGAGCGCTATTTCCGCGAGATTCATCACCGGGTTTCCGTAAGTCTTCTGTCCTTGAAAAGGCTCTTCTTCTGGAGCTTCATTCCTAAAGAATTGTCTCGTGACGGTCCTTTGTTTCTCATCTCTTTTCTAAACTCATCCCTTCTGGGCAGCTATTCAGAATTCAGCTGTTCATACACTCACTTACTCTCGTGGACCATTTTTCCTCATTTCTCGAGAGTTACAGTCTTTGTGCACACTTCCAGCTAGCTCTGAGAAAGAAACCAGGAGATCCTTTGAGTCCTAATAGGTTTTTATCTTGGAACAATGTTTTTCACAGGTGTTCGAATGCCTGCCTTCCACCCTTGCTGCCCCCTCGAGTTGGCAAATGGATCACACACGCGCCGTGAAAGATTATGAACGTTCTTCAGCAGACCAGCCTGTTCCGTTGCCTTGTGAACTACGACCGACACCTGTGTTGCGGCGCACAATGGCTTACCTCCTGGCTAGTATTGCCGATCGTCCGGAACTCGACAATACACGTAGTTTGTGGAAGCCTTGGTACGAGTTTATGTGGACCCGGACGCGTGCAATCCGGAAGGATATCGTTCAGCAACGCCTGTGTTGTCCCGTTATCGTGGGAGTGATGGAACGCATTGCTCGTTTCCACATATTTTGCGCTGCCCGTTTGGTTGACCAGCCGATCGACAGCTTTGACCCTCGCATAAACTCTGAAAATTTGACGCAATGTCTACAGACACTGAAGGAGATGTACAATGACTTGGGTGCGGACATAAGTGACCAGTCCAACTGTATCTGCCCGAACGAAGCAGAGTTTCGTGCATACATGCTTCTGATGAACTTAAACGACCAAGGAGCTCTGAAGTAGGTCTTTGAAGCTGTATCTTTAATTGATTCACTATTCTCCTGTGGTCTAAACGTATTTCTGTCTTTGTGCTACGTTGTCATACGCTATTCCATTTTGCGAAACTTGTACCGCGGGTAAATGGAGTCGTGAAAGCTAGCCATTCTACCGAAACCAAAAGTACTGCATCCCGCTGTGTCTTGAAAATGGCTCATAACTCGCAAGATGCGCCTCACTTCAAATCGACCTAATTCTTCACTACAAACGATCGTTTACCAAGTTTTGTATGTAGAAGCTTTAGTTCGCGACTTAGTAGAGCATGTGCTGTAAATGATTGGACTCTCAGAAGCTCGTCTGCACGATGTTGTAGCCTATCTTGTAGGCATGAAGGGGTCCGTCACGTGGCTGTGATCCCTGTTGCTTTACCGAGCAGACTTGTCTAACCAGTACATTTACACGAGTGACAAGCCTCGTGTGGTTGTGATTACCTGGAAACACCGATTTTTTTCCTGTAAGATCATTTATAATCGAAGGCCAACCGGACTGTAAACGCCAGGTTTTTTATCAAAATCGATGAGTAGTTGAAATACTCAATCTTTATGTTCACGATTAGCCGTGATGGCTGTAATATAACACGCCTAGACTGTTCGCTCGTAAAAATGTACTTCCCCTGATGAACAGATTTGCTGAATTTTTTGTGTGGAAGTTTTTACTATCCCCCCATGAATGCCTATCTTTGCAAAATTATTGTCAAATCTGAATTTAGCGAGTGCTGATTGTCCCACATCTCACCGAGCTTTGTATGCTTGATTGATGGTGTGTGAATGACAGGCGAGATGCACCAAGTGGTTAGAGCGCGAATTTACTGACCTGAAAGGACCGTGGTTCGAACCCGACCTCTGCCTCTAGACTTCCCCTGTCTGGGCTTGGGCAACCTGGCAGTATCCCAGCCCTTGTGCTTCCTTTGTGTGGCATGTCAGCTAGGCACCGAAAGGGTGCTACAGCTGAACGATTTTTTTACGAATGACAGATCTGAAATTTTTCAGTAGACATACGCGATCAACATATATGAAAATAGCGGGCAGCTCTACGCGTACTACATAGGAATGTGTTATTTCGGAAGGAACAGCAGTAGGCTGTTCCAGCTCTCGAATGCGATGCACAACCTCGCGGCCGCATTAAAAATGGGTTGATTAGATTAACGTATTCCCACATGCCTGTTAAAATGAGTTATTTTACACGCAGTTTGTATCAGCTCTCCGGTGGCTTGTCAAAGTGGCTGCATTTAAAACTGTCCCCGTTACGTAATATTTGCCGAGACTAAAGTCGGTTGACAGTCGTTACAGCTAGATGCGAATTGAGATCACGAATGGGCTTGAGATTGCCATGAGGCGCATGCAATAACCGCGTGTGATCGACTCAGGGCTAACAGTTATTGTCTCTTTACTTCGCACTTTTTCTGCCTACTTGACCAGGATCCCGAAACAATATGAGTGACAGTCTTCAAGTGTTTTCTGTTCCCACTGACGTCTTTGGCTTTTTCCCGTTTGTTCCAGTCCCGTTAAAGTATTTGCACAACCCAGCGTGCCTCACAAAATAGCAACCATTATCTTCATAATCACTGCTTACTGCACATTACCCTTTAGGCTGTTGTGTTGCATTGTCCCTCGGGTTTGGTCTTCAAATGTGATGGAGTTACATCCCAAGTGCATCTAGCTACCATAGGATATCTCTTCTGCTGGTGCTCTTTTACCAACTGTGTTGATCGCTACCGCCTCGAACTCCACGTTGGTTTTCCGGCAAGTATTTCCTAGGTGTTCATCCCTTCTGGACCTACCGATTAGTCTTCAGCTTTTGGTTTTGTGGCTCACATTCAGTATCACATCCGTATCTGTCATCCTCAGAAACATTTTCCCTCATATCATCTGTCGATTTCTTCCAAAGCGATGTGCAAAAATTGCCGTCTCATCTGCTTCGGTCCCCCGAAATGCGGTTTGCTGTCAGTGTGCATGAATCCGTGACGACGAACAATTATATTCGATTTTTCCGTTTGGTTCATCAAGCCACCTTCTTGTCTGCATGCTTGATGCATCGCTATTTCGTCCAAGTTCGCAGTCAAGCTCTCATACGTCTGGCAGCCTCTTTTGCTGGGCACCCGAGGAAAGATGTGCAGGTGAATCATGTGTATACATACTCTCGTTTTCTTTGCTCGTATTTGTCGTATGGTACTCATGTCTTGCACATTTACAGTTTGCTCAGAGCTGTCGCACAGAACGGCTTCTCAGACCTCGGTAAAGTGAGCACGGAGAGCTGTTAGAAAACCTCCTAGATTCGAATGCTCACAACGTATTGTCACAGTGGCTTCTGCGCACAAGCACTGTCGGCTAGGTATCATATCAGAGGAAGCTTGTGTATGGATAGCGAGACGTGGTTGAATCCAAAAATTCAAGAATTGCAGGAGAACAGTTCAGTCGAGCGTACACGAAAGCTGCTTCAGCCGACCCACAATACAGGACACAAGAGACCATCTGTTAGTGAGTCAACTGGCCGCTCCTTGGCACTCCATCAGGTCTTAGGGCAACGCCAACTGTACAGGCCATCCGCATTCCTGGTGCTCCTCAAAGACGACTGAGATTCTGTTGAATGAGACGAGGCTGGAGAGTCTTCAACACCCCCATGTTCAAACAGCTTCTGGTGAGAATTTCGTCAACTTAGAGTGTGCAGACGAGATAGCTCAGTGGTTAAGGAGACAGCTTACGGACCGGAAGGTCCACAGTAATTTTCCCTAAGCACATGAGGTTTTTTGCACTGAGTCTTCAACCTCCCTCCTTGTTACTAATCCCTAATAGGTTGTTATTCACCGTTTTTTTGGCAGTCACATGCCGATTTCGGATGGTGATGCAATCCGTTTGTATGTGGCTTTTTAATTTTCAACGCAACAGCCTTTTTAGCAAACCGTTCCATTGGCCACTAGTTACACAACTATGCTCCCTTATTATGGAGAGAAGACTGATGTCGGCAGTCTGGTTTTCAGACGACCTCATCCCTCTAAGTCCCCGGAAAGCATTCTCTTCTAGGCTTCTGAAAGACTTCCCATTTCTGGAGAGACCATCCAACCTCTTCTGGGAGGTCCACGACTTCGTTGAACCAAGGGTGTTATACTCTAGTATAAAGGCCATAAACTCCATGACATTTCAAGGGGCGGATGAAAGTTCTGTGCAATTCAGCGCATAGGTGGCTCTCGAAATGCGTAAATCCTGGGTGGACTGGCTGAACGAATTGTAATCCGAAATTCTATCATTACTGCTTGATGTATACTGAACTTGTACCGAAAAAGACAACATCCAGCTTGAATTCTTAGTATTGGTGTTTTGGGTACTCGTTTCCAACGTTAGAAATCGTGTTATCGTTTTCCACTGTATTGCCACACATCCGAGAAAAAAAGAAATTTGATTTAAGAGAGGGATAGCAAAGGTCCAGTTTAGAAAAACCGTATATCCCGAGGGATAACGAGAAAGAATAAGTTACCTGCATTGATCAGCATTTAAAGAAACACACCTGAGCGTCATATCGGAGTAAGGGTCGGATCAGTGGGATGGAAAGGTCACCTTCTGCGAACCTTAATTAAAATGAGCCAGCACAACACACAGCGACAGACAAACCTTAGCTGAGCAGTTCGGCTGGACGTGGCAGTATGCTCGCCATTGGGATCGGTTGCATGTTTTCCCTTACAGTATCCTGTCACGTACAGTAAACAGCACGTGAACCCCAACCACTAGCACACTCAATCTACTCTCAGTCAGTTCGTCAACCTTCCATAACAAAGGGTTATGCCTCAGTCAGTTCATGGCTTGTCATTCGTCAACCTTCCATAACAAAGGGTTATGATGCAAAACAGTGCTTTCTTCGACGGATAGTGGTTGGGCATGTGCCCGGATGGCGCTTCTGGATAGAAAAGGAGCTGAAAACCAGGGTAACAAACGTTAAGGACGGTCTCGATCTTCTGGGATTACATGTCAACTACAGGCCCCATTGATGGGTAAAATTGACCTACACAGCGCCCATCATGCAATGGATAATCGGTCGCTAACGGCAGCGATCCGGGACGTTTTTGGAGTTGGCGCATGCTGGAGTCAGTCGCCATGACGGACAGGCTGCAGTCAGCTAAATCCTGCTATCAGATGTCTGGAGTCGAGTCAGTGTCCATGTCTACCTCTAATTTGTCATTGTACCGTCGGTGTTTCTTTGGGGACAACAAAGCTTACGTTGCGGTATATCTGACTTTCGAGTGACACCTGTTTGTAGGGTGATTTTTAGGCGATCATTGTAGGTTCTTCTCACTTACTAATATCGATTTCAGCTTACAACGTCAACTGTGTGGAGATGTGGAAACAGCTTTTGACGAATGCGCTGTAAAGATATCAGGACGATCAACAAACGATGACGTTATGGATGTCACCGAATAGCCAAAGCATTTCCTATTATATAAATATATACACCGTTAAATGAACTTGATCGAGTACCACAACTTTCTTAGTTTTTCTACTATTTGGATCTTAAATTCCTCCCTAGAAATCTAAAAGTAAGTTTTCTCTTGATAAATTCTTTGAAGGGATTACATCACTTATATTGTGTTTGGAGGAACAGGATTGCACAGCGTAGGTCGTAGCTGACGTGGATGGTTTTTACGCTATCTCTAGGTGAGTGATCTACCTTCGAATGCTTCTCTCTTGGACTAGATCACTATAATGGATTCATGGTGTCACTGGCTTTGTTTAAAACGTGTACCTGAAAAATATACGTGTGTGTTAATCAACTTTCCTGTCACACTTCTCTTACTTAGTATCCGCTGAGCACACTGACTCGGCAGCTGGGTTTCGAAGATACTCAAGAGGCGAAATCATTCTGTGAATGTTGGGGCCTTACCGTTTGTGTTAACCAACTTGTGTTTGAGAAACAAACCCAGCCGCAACCTCCGGAACTAGCCTGGCGTGAACGAAGAGCCTTGCGGGCAAGTTTTTTTTATGTATTTTGCTTCTGTGTTGTGCACACTTTATACCTCTGTCACTGACTTGAGCAACAGTATGTAGTCTGACTGTAAATGCATGGATATTATTTATGAACTGGATCAGCACTAAGCACCCCCTCTCGCGATTGGTTCGATATGCTTCAAAAGGTTCGACGAAGAACCAAACGGCTGCAAATTCATGCCGTTTTCAGTTGTTGTTGTTGTTGTTGTTGTTGTTGTTGTTGTTGTTGTTGTTGTTGTTGTTGTTGTTGTTGTTGTTGTTGTTGTTGTTGTTGTTGTTGTTGTTGTTGTTGTTGTTGTTGTTGTTGTTGTTGTTGTTGTTGTTGTTGTTGTTGTTGTTGTTGTTGTTGTTGTTGTTGTTGTTGTTGTTGTTGTTGTTGTTGTTGTTGTTGTTGTTGTTGTTGAGCATTTCTGACTATTTCTGATCTTCCCTTGCGATCCTCCGATCCATTGTTGGTGCTCCCTGATACTCGAATGCCTGGCCCTTGACCCCAACACCTTCATTAATTGCCCCAAGAATTCGGCATCTTTTTTCCGCCAAGCATTTTCGAATATGCTCTGTGATTGCATCTGTTCTTCTTCAACTTCACATTGCCACATTCAACTCCAAATTTTCAGCTTATTGAACAAAAACGGTCTAGTATCTCTTTATCGACAGTTTTCAATGGTGGACCTGTTTGTCGCGATGATGCTGTTCCGCCCCCAGTTCACTCGTCTTTTGACAACCGGGATCGCTTTGTTGGAAAAGACGAGTTAGAAGAGCCAAATCGTTTACAACCTTCGACTGTCAGCTACTCCGTGCCTGTGCCAGCGTTTGTCCCCGCGGAACCGTCCAATTTACCACCCGTTGACCGAAAACCTCAGGACCCTTACATGAAAGAATTACTTGGCAACAAACCATTGGTTATGAACTTTATAGATCAATGGGTCGATGAATTCCTGGACTTCAGGGGAGTTGCTTGCCAAGTGCTGGTTGAGGAATCCGTTTTACGCACAGTCCTCATGGAATTGGTCGAATGCACTGTTCGTCAGGAGGTCTACAAGGTAGGTTTACCTTTTGCTTCAAGAACTCAGGTTCAATGCACTGGGGTTCTCCATTTTCTTGATTCTTAAGTGGGTACAATGCACTGTTCATGATGTACCGAAAACAAACTAATTGTCTTACTTTAAATTGGTTTAATTCTGCCCTTCAAATTACAACAAAATGCTGTCCAACCAACCAGCTTCAACAGGAGGGCAGTACATTTGTTGCCTAATATCCATTTATTATTATCATCGTTTTTTGTTTTGAAAATAATTATCAGTAGTAGGTAACACGCCGGTAAAAATTGGCACAAATTCAGGAACAGCAGGCGCTAGGTAACACGCCGGTAAAAATTGGCACAAATTCAGGAACAGCAGGCGCTGCTGTAGATCTCGTCTGGTGAATGCACACATTTCCGTCCATCTGACGCCCGGTCCCCGTTGCACAGACTTTTGTGACTTCTCCATAAAGCTGGTTTGAGACTAAATGGATAGCCTCGAGATGTGACCACTGTTCATCCCTTGTTTCAGCTACCTATCACATTTCACCTGACCTACCGCGATGCAGTAGCTGAAGAACGATATTAGGCAAAAAAAAGTCCTCAGTGTGGAGACATAATGTCTCTCCCATACTGGTATTTTGGTCTTGTATAACCATGTTTAACTGCCTTTTTCGAGCAAGTTTATGGTCCCTTGTTGGATGGGTTTCACTGCTTAGTTATCTCATCATCAGAAAACAGCGGATCCTTTTTTCTCTTGTTTTGAAACAGATGGTGACGGAATCGTTGAACACACAGCACCAGACTGTTCAGGACCGTACATCTACTGATTTGCGTGATTCCTTGCTTGAGTCCGTGCTCATCACGGAGTGCCAGAGGATTGCGCAGCATTGTCTAGCTCTCGTGTCCCTATGTGTGAGTTTTCTTGTGCTTGGTCTGTAAAGACGGGATGTGCGAAAGTGGATTACCCAACATTGGTAATGTTTATTCTTCCGTTTGCGAAAAAGAACACCATTTTAAATTAGTAGACTTCAATATCACTTTAACTGTTGCGATCTTTTCGTGTGTTAATGCTCATTTATACGATCAGAGTATCGTGGAAATATTCCCCAAAGTTCAGATATCTCAATCCCCAGGTGGCCTAAACTGCACCATATAGACCGCACCCAAACACTAAAAAGGTGTAGAAGAGGAGCGACATACTTCTTTTTGTCGGCTGATACTTCCTGGTACTCAGTCTGACGGTCCTAGTTTTAGTGATCGTTTGTGACCATAGCAACCAGAGTGCTCAGTACTTCGGCTATCTCATACCAAGCTTAGCGATTTAATCCGCGTTTTCTTGGCACAAAACCACTTATATTTACCTTCGGATCCAAGTTTTTTAAAGGACATGCCAGTTTCAAGGTAATTTGGCTTTCACTTTGTCTTATTGGTTTGTTAGGCAGTTTCCTAGCTCTGAGTCGAGTAGTGATAACCTAGACACCTTGGTTTTAATAAAACGCAACACGGCATTTCCAGTGGAGATTTCGTCCTGTAGGTGAAGTCAATCATCAGCAGAGCATATCTCACGAATCGATGCGCCGATTCGATCTCGTAACCCCCAGGCCACAACCGGCTGATCAGCAATGTGCTTAACTCTCACTTAGCAGGATATGAAGCCACTCATCCTTCAATCGCAGAATCCACGTGTGAACTGGCTTCTCTTGTGGCAACTTTTCAGGTGGAAGATCCATTCATCGTGTGAGCTAACTGGAGTCCGTTGGTATTTTGAAAAGATTTAGGAATTTTGGTCTCATTTATAGGACAAAATCTCCATTGAAAATTCCAAAATCTATCAAGTAACACAGTACTGTCAACGTGTTATTTACCGTGGGAGATTTTGTGCTTGTGTTTGCCCTTGTTTTAATTTCATGTGTTCATCTTATCCGTAATCTAATCGTCATCCCTCTGCCTCTCAATGCCTCGTTTCCCCCAAACAGCGTGATATGCTTGAGTTTGAGTTCTTGCCACTTCTCACTGAAACTGTCATCAGAAATTGTTGGCTGTCAACCAAAGCTGACCACTTTCGCCGGCAACACTTGCTGCAAGCATGTTTTCATCGATTTCGTCTGTGCATGCATCACAAACAATGTGCAGAACGCGAACATGCTCTGTTTCGATCCATGCCTGCTTGTCCACCAACTCACCTGAATGCATTGAGTCTGGTCGGACCCAAGGTGCTAACAGGAATGGTTATGAACTCATCTGATAGTCAACGCTGGCATGACGCTTCGGCCAAACGCCCCCGGTTTTCTAGATGGGCTCAACAGGTGAGAATTTCCTCCAAACCCTGCGAGGTGACGGCCCATGGGACCCACCCGAGCCATTCGTTGCAGACAGGGTGAACACTGTTGTAGATTTTTTATTGGCATTCAACGGTCTACTTACCCACGGACCTTTTAGTAATCGCTCGGGTGTATAAAACCTGTCAACCAAGGGGATTGGCTTACTTCACGTTGTTAGAAAACCCATCTTCAATACACTTCCTGGATTTACTCACACGATGCTGGTGGGGACGCGCCTTCAGGACTTGTGAGACCATGGTGAATTAGTACTGCTGTCCTACTGTGTAACTAGCACCTGCCATCAACATTGCTTCGTCAACCATTTACTCTTAGAAATGTGATAAATAGTTGGTTGGTCGTCATTCTTATGCATCATTTTTCTGCTGGTTGACTCTACTCTTTCATATTTTGTCCCTTTTTCTCCCGTTGGCTCAGAATTTGTTTGATTGCTTTCCTTGCAAACTGGTCGTCTAACCCATGCACACCTCGTTTCACGAAAAACAATCACCAAAAAAGGACTACTTCTCTGGAGAGCGTTCTGTTTCAGTCAGTAGTTAATTTACGACATCACATTAGAAAGGTCAATCCCTCAGCAGAAGCCAGATGATCCTCTTCCCAGTGGTTCTTTTTGGGGATCGCTGAATTGGGGTTTTTGCGAGGGGAGTGTATACTCCAACGTGGCTGACAGGAAATATTATTATGGATTGTATCCTCGGAGGAGAATTTGTCTTTGGAGTGAGGGGGCGGGATAGTTCAGTGGTTAGAGCGCGAATTTACTGACCGCAAGATTCGTGGTTCGAACCCGACCTCCGTATCTCCACTTCTGTTGTCTAGGTTTGAGTAACCTGGCAGTATCCCAGCCCTCGTGCTTTCTTCGGATGGCATGGCAGTTAATCACCGAAGGGGTGTTAAAGCTGAACGATTATCTTTGTATTGTTAGTATTCTTTTACTTTACTCATTCAATCACTTTCATCACTAATTTGGGTTTATCAGGTTTACTTAGTTCAGTAATCAGGTCTATTAAGACTGAATGATGGTTGAATGATCGGATTTGTCGTGTCAGTAAACCTTGGATCTCTAGTTATGCTGGATGCTGAGTGACAGTCTTAGGCGAGAGTACTTTATCGAGCGATGTGTAGTTTGCGGTATTATTGGTGTTCACTTCCCACTATGCAATAATATATGGATTTCGATTCATCCATCTGCTTCTGTACACTCACTTTGTCCGTTTTAGATGGACGACAAAATAACTTGGCAGCCCGTTCCTCTTGCATCACAACTCATCGGTTGCTCCCTTGGCCTCTATTCACCCATGTCTGCTGCTCGTTTGCGCAAACCCCTCAGTGTGATAACCGCCTGGCTTCGAATCAAGTTGTCTAGTTGCCGTTTGATTTCCGTGCCCAACTTGATTGGTTGCTCCCCCGACACGTCTAAGCTAACCGGCCTACTTTGTCTTGGAAGTCCTGATGAGTTGGTCTTGCGCTGTTCCACCCAGAACAAACTCCCAGTTTTGGTCTTTATTCCAAAAGATATGACTTCTGACGAGAAAGATGGAAAGTATTACACTGCCGATTCGTCTCTGGTTTACACTATGAGTTTCTCCTGGACAGGTATGGATCAATTTGTGCCTAACCAAAGCTGGTCCGTCGTGCTTCGAGATGGTCTGGATTGGTTGACATCGAACATCCTCACAAGGTCCATCGCAACTCACTTGCCTGAGTCTCAGTTGTCTCCATGTCGATCTCGCTCCGGCCGTCTGTCGAACCAAATTAGATTGGTCGATATTATTTGGCACCTTGTAGATCGTCTCTTCTTTCATCCATTGTCTACCTTATCCCAAACTTGGAAGGAAAAAGGATTGGTGGCTCCAGTAAGTGCACGGTCTCCATTGTAGCTTACCTGTTCACTGGAATAGACAGTGACCTCTTAAGTGTGAAACACCGGGGACCGAACAAAATCACTATCCTCCTACTTGTCCCTCGGTGTATTGCCGTCACCCAACTGTTACCGCTTGATTTTCCGTAGTTGAATACGTTTCTACAACGAGAAGCTTTATTTTATTTCCGCTATTACTACTAATACACTACAGCTTTTCCATCCGGAACACATTTTGAGTTCCACGTGAACTTATTGTCGACATCTCCATAAAAATTAAGGGCACATTGCTACTCCGGATAAGGGATACGGATCACGGTTCCCTGAGTACAAAAGCCATCCTTCGATTAGCGCCACGTCACTAAGTGTTGGCCTATTTATCTGATATTGCCCCATTATTCATTCTGACCCACCGGATCGCGAAGGCGTTGGTGAAATCTACTTTGACAACGGTATGAAGATAAACCGCCTAAAAGATAGAAGTCATAGGACTAATCAAATTCTCTTACAGGTGGAACAGAAGATCAAGGGTTTGAGAAATCTCTAATGAGTGCATCCAACAGTTTTGAGTGATCATCATCAGAGACAGCAACATCAGTATTGACACTGATGTTACACTGCCGTACAACCATAAAGTTTGTTTAATTATATTCAAAGCCTTGGAATGAAAAGAAATGAGTGGGTGAGGGAAGGAGGGCACCTGGCGCTGACATACCACAAGCATTCTGGGGTGCCTACACCTCCAAGCGCTCAATCAGACAGTCTAAAAAGACACTAACAGCACGAACGCCACTGACATCAATCAATCGCCATTTCTTGCAATGTCTCCAGCCAGTCGCAGGAAGGGGCACGCGAACCCCATCCTTGAAGGCGTACAACACCCGGACTCTCCGTAATCCCTTTCACATCCGTCTGCAAATACGTTATCCAACTCTCGGTTTGCGCCATTCTGAAGGAGGCACGGAGAATAACATTCGTCTCTGTAGACGGTGTTTCGGCATGTATAGCATGTGGCCGAGCCACCGTAGTTGATAGCGCTGGTTTTTTTTCGCGATTGAAGTATCTGCTGTGCAACCATATATCAGTTTTCTAATCACTTCGTCACTGATCAGTGGACGCGACAGTCTGGTGAACAAAGCAGTCAGTCGCAGTGCTTGGATCTGCTGAGAGAGTATTCAGTTTTGGGTGAGGTAGGGTAGAAGCGAGAAACGTGAAAGTGTAATAAGAGAGGCGTCGGTAGTAGTATGTTTTCGAATACCCTTCGTGCTTTTCGCAGCAAATAAGGTGACTCGGCTGATGGCACCACGCAACGGCTGATTTGACATGAGTTTATTTGTGTGTGCTTGTACGTGGATTAGGATACTACCAGCTAGACAGGAGGACGAGTAGGGTCTTCAACCAAAAGCCTGACCGCAAGGCAGCGGTGTTTGGTGGGAAATGCAAGTGTATTCGAATTTTTACAGAACGAGTCGTCACACATGTTCTAACCCCCAACCTGAAGGGCTGAGAGACTGTGTTGGTCAGCTCTCTAACTATTAACCAACTCGGTATGAGAGACTGTGAATGCCGCACGGACACCCCCCCCCAGTATAGCTCAGTGTGTCACCCAGGCACACAAACCGTCACACCACTGTAAGGTCCAGTTTCTTCGTGACGTCCAGAGTAATATTCGTGACTGATCCATTGCGGTCCGTTTCGTTTAGTTCTTGAGGGGTTCGGTCTGGTATTCACCTCTGTCTGTTTCGCCACATAACACGGGTGATGAGGTCGTACGACCCATGCAGTGGCATTTATTTGTAGTCTGTTTATTTATTTCCAAGGCCAAAAGGTCTGCTACTATCTCATTTTCTACTACTATAACGTCGTCCAAAATACCCATTCCTTAGTCACAGAACGTCGTGGGTCTTCTTGATGACCTTCACATTGCCTGTTCATTTTTAGTGTCCGAGCTCCGTATTTCACCTATATCGCGTGGCCGTCGATCGAATATGCAGTCGACTCAACACTACACAACTGTCTATCACCGTCCAATCTGACCTTCACATCCCAACAGAAAGTGTACAGTTGTTGACCGACAGCCATACATGGGATCAGTTCCTCCAAAACTGGTCAGCATTTTCCGAACAACTGCATCTGAGTCCCTACACTTATTGTTGGGTTCAAACAGCCATCAGTCATGTAGAAAAGTCGTTCCATGCGTCCGCTGGTCTCCTCAATCTTGCTCCCTTACCTGTACTGGCTCCATGGCTGACCTTGTGTATGGCTACTGTGCGTGATCGATTGGAACAGCTGGCACATTCTGATCTTGCTGATCAATCTGCTGAGCTGGTTTCGATCGAAAGCCTATTGGAACTGCTCTGTGAAACCGAAGATCAAGAAGTACTGGCAGAATTCACGTCACACTTTTCCACGCTTGGTACGTGAGTTTCTTGGCACTTTCGCTTTCATATCAATATAGCTTGTTCATGTTATCCAGGTTTACTATCGTAGCCATGTGTTGTTGGATCCACACCTTAAATCAGTATGCGGACTACTGTAGTATCACTATCTCATTATGCATTGGCATAGTTCAGCTGTAGCACCCTTTCGGTGCCTAACTGCCATGCCACCGGAATGAAGCACGAGGGATGGGATACTGCCAGCTTGCCCAAGCCTAGACAGGGGAAGTTGAGAGACAGAGGTCGGATTCGAACCACAAACCTTCCAGTCAGTAAATTCGCGCTCTAACCACTGAGCCATCTCGTTCCCATGCGTTGGAAACACTTCTGCTGTAAAAAAAAAGTTGGTCCGACTGTCTTTTGTGTCCAGAATTTTCGTCCCCCAGAGATTGTAGAACTTTAAAGGCATCGATCCGATTGTAACAGAACGCACCTGAAAATGTCCTCTGATGTGAACAGTCAACATTATCTGAAGGGTTTTCAATCCTTTGAAACTCGCCCTGATCGCTTCCAAGCTATGTTATTTCATCGTAGCACTAACTTCGTGTGAAGAGCGGATTAAGTCACCCATAAATGACTCTAAGCTGATAGTCATCAGGAACACTTATGAGAGTGAAATTATATATCCCGGGTCCGTGTATTCCAGATAGGCTAAGTCACACTGAACCTGTTTCACTGTATCTTGGTCAACTGGATTATTCAAAACAGAGTGCTTCAGCTCACTTGGTACCCGCTAGTCATCGATAGCAGCACTTCAGTCAATGGTTAATACTCGAGTTGCATGTGATACCCTCATACGGTCTTTCTCATGATGTTCGCACTATATCCGGCAATTATTATGTATGGCGGGATTTGACAAGACAACCATAAAATTCACGAACCCAGGATGGAGCCTTATTCTAAGAGATCAATTAAATTTTTAAATGAGTACTATGGAATCAAGAATAGAGCAGTTTGGTGCAATGCGGCATGTTGGATCGGAATAGTTTTTCATCCAATGCTTATCTGGTCTGTGAAATGATCTCATCACATAAGAGGTGAGCCTATCAGATGAGTATGGGCTGATTGTTTACGCGAACTCAGGCTAACAACCACAATTTGTTGATGTAAGGACCATCTAGCAACTGACCAGACATTTGCAGCTTGTGAGATGTTGATCGGGCGGTTCCGTGGCTAAAGTGTCTGTGTCCACCAACGGAACCCTCATAAGAACGAAGTGCCTAGTGTTGATAAGGTCTGAGAAATCAGATGAGCTGGTCTCTGTTGGCTTTGCAGTTGCCAGGGCCTCCATCAGCATAGATGAATATTTATATGAAACTAACTCATGACTCATGGTTACTCAGAAAAAATGTCGGATATTCTAACACTTTACAGACATCTTTCCCTGGCGGGAAATACATATTAGCACATCGCTCAGGTCATTTAGGCCAGTCTAACTTACCACGAGACGTACCACACACGCCAACAAAAGTTCGTGAGCGGAGTGCCTCAAATGGTTAGAGCGCGAAAGTACTGACCGGAAGGTCCGTGGTTCGAGCCCTACCTCTGCCTCTAGACTTCTCCTGTCTATGCTTGGGCAACTTGGCAGTACCTCATCCCCCGTGCTTCCTTCGGGTGGCATGGCAGCTAGGCACCGGAAAGGTATTACAGCTGACTGATTAACAAAAGTTCGTCAAACCGTTCTTTTGATATCTCCCTCTATTTCCGTGAATCATCAGTTTTATCCGCAGATTACTTACTCTAACCCGGTTTTTTTTGACCAGATAACCGTCTTCTTCCGTACGTTAACCATTTCAGGTGAACCATGCACAACGTACATATCAGCAGTAGATCTTTCACTTGCAAATAGTTCACAGCATCAGATCGCCATTCGCTTGCATGGTTCCACAAGAATGGCACCAGTGAACCCCACCTCCAGATCATTACTTCTCGAACTCGATTCGTTGCGTCATCGAATGGACACTTTTGAAGAGTCCATGCAAGAAGTATTGGAACAGACAGGAGTTTCGTCAAAACTCTCGCTCATGAACACACGTACGACTGTTTCTCCTGTTTCAAAATTATAGACACATTCTAAACTTCAGAGTTTTATTTTGTGATAGGAACCTGTTTGTCTGTATTTTTTCGTTTTTTTGTTCCAAACAACCTGCAGCTGTAAATATGATGTCCTATCAGACACAAAATGTCTTCTGCTAACTTTTCAGTCAGACGTGTAGGATAAATGATAAATATGGATGGACTAGAAACTGTTCTCTTTCCTTCGGTCCTCTCTGGCAAGTCATTCGAAAACATAACGTGTTCACAAGAAATCCTCTTCAGGTTAGGTATATATGTTCGCGTACGCAACAGTTCGGTTTTCTTGCTAAATAGACTTATTTCCCTCTATGAATCTGAATAACGATAACGAAAGATAACGTGAGGTTGGTTGATTAGCGGTCAAATGCATTCGAATAGAAATGCCACAAGGAATAATGTATCATTAAAAACATACTTAGTAGCTAAGGCCTAATCATCTATCTTTGTGACACGAGTAACTGGTAGAACAAATAAGCGGGTGCTTGGACAGCCACACTGCTTAAAAAAACCTCGAATGGCGCTCTTTTGTCTGGTTCGTGGGGTACGACGCACGATGGACACGAGCGCAAGCTGTTCTAAGGATCAGAACGCTGGAGCTGATTGTGTCGCACAGGTAGTGTTGAGTAAACTACCATACCATGCCATGTTTTGGCATGTGCTATGCACCTACGATGTACAAAGTCATGCTTCAGAGGTTGCAGTTTCCAAAGCTGATTCTTAAATTTCGAAGAGACTCGCTAGAGGATTCTACATACCCCGGAAGTTATATTAGCTGTGACGGGAGTGTGCTTGATTCTCGAAAGACCAAATAGCGTTAGTCAGTTTGTACCGTTTGCGGCGTAAAAACTGCATATCACTGGTTCTCAAGGGTTGTGTATACCAGGCTACAGTAAGCCTGTGTTGTTACGTGATTGCGAGACATGGTCTCTGCGGGCGGGTGATCAGAGACGTCTTCGACAAATTCGTAACGAAGCTATTAGAAAACTGGTATTTTATAGTGCCGTGCAGAACATCCAGCACCATCAACTTTGGTTGTTGGTATTACGCATACCGAGTGATCGTCTACCGAGACTAGTGTTGTTCTCTAGTCCTCGATCAGACTGGCGCAAACTGCTAGGCGGAGAAGGTGCAAATTGACAGAAGTATGTGAAAGATTATCAAGAGTTTGGGTGCTGTTCGTGCGGTCCACGTTCTGGAAAGAAGTTTCTGCGATCCTCCCTGTCCTTGGCTAGAATCGTTGCAGGAGATGGCGTTTAACCGGCGTCAGTGGCTTTTTCGCTGTCTCCTTCTTCCTAGATTATTTGATTGAGCCTTCAGAGGCCTAACTGCCTCGGAATGTTTGTGGTAGGCTAACACCAGATTCCCTCCCCATCCAGTCTTCCGTTTTCTACTTCAAGTTAAATAAACCTTTCTGTTGGAGCTTGAGTATCAGCACCAATTTTGTTGGTTCTGTCCTCAGATTTGTGATTGGATTGTTTTACTGAAATCATCTGGATGTGTTTGGACGGACAAATCTCGTGATTCCACTCGGTTTATTTAGCAACATGGCCGCCACCTGGTTGCTTGCAAGTTTGGGAATTAGAAACGGTGAAATTAAGCCGCAGCGTCATACACCACCCGCAGTGACGTAAGTTTGAAGATATGTAAGAGAAAGAGTACGTTAATAATGTGGCCCTCGTTGCATCACCTTGCCGTCCCACTATGAACCACCTTCGGTCACAACACTCATAAATGTGCACATACACTGTCACTCACTGGTATACGCACTGAAATGAGTTGCACGCTTAAGGTATTCGTGTAGGTATCTGACCAAACAGCGTGTTCTCTCGAATTGCGACCGATCGATTCCATCTAACTTGCTGCGCATTCATCTCCATCACGTAGTATATAGCACCATGATGACGCACCGGTAGGGTGCCACACTTTATGTCCGTAGAAACTTCCCGGGTCATGGTGTCTCTTGCAGGAGGAACGCACTATGGATCATACGAGCAAACCGTAACGCACGTACCTCAGACCTTGACGACACTGATACACTGAAGCTAGTGGATTAGTATCGCTAGCCTCCCCATTTAACACCTGCAGTACAACGAATATCCTAGTATAAACACCACTTCCGTCGTTCACTATGATAGAACTTAGTAAAACCCCGTTATTGCGATCACCAGTATGCTCATCTGGTATAATGTATTTCATGTATTTCATAGTGATTCAGCTGCGCTTGATCACTCAGTCACTAAACTGCATTGAAAACAGCAGGTACGACGGCAATCAATTTATCCCAATGTTTCGTCTGAAAACAATAAGTAAAACTGGTGGAGTTCACCTTCCATTAACTCAAATTATTTTTTTATAAGATGGAATCGACTGAATGCAGATGTTGTCCTTCACCAAGACAATGCATTCGTAATGTTGAATCTTTGGACCTTGTAATCCATTTGGGAAACTACCTGTCTTATGAAAGCACATTGACTATACTTGTACGCAACTGTTGCCATCTGAACTCAGATGGGTACGTTCGCTACACGTACGCTAATTGTTTACCAGCGCTGTATTGGCGAAATACGCTCATTTGCAAACAATTTTGGTTTTACAAGAAACTCACCAGGAACCCAGCGGAATCTCGTTGTATAATGCCGAGAAGTTTTCAGCAACTTTATGAGTAGTAGTGTATTGCGTCTTGACTAGTACCATATATCAACTCCATTAAAGCGAGTATATCCCTTCAATTGTTTAATCAGAGCGGTGAGAAGGCGCAAGATGGTGGATATACGCCTTTCGTATTGGACCACTTGGTTTAGACGGTTGTTTGCCCCGCAGACCAACACATTCGCACAACGAGCTTACTCAGACAAAATAATTCATCAAGTAAACCGACATTCACGAATAGTTTGAGGAAGAAATTGGTATAAGCAGTTTTCTAAGACGTTAAATGAAACCGGGAATACTGCGAGTCGCTCGTGACGATTGAATAATCTCCACCTAACAACGTTATTCACATTGCTTAGTTTATTTTTCACGCGGACAAAATCGGAACCAAATGGAGCAATATTTTTGCATACTGCAGTTTTAAAGAAGAGAGTTCACCACGAAAGCACCTTTGACAAACGCTGCTTTGAGACCCAAGAAAACACCATGTATTGACCTTTTTCTATGTACGGCGGTGTTCGAGGTGCTAGACGAAACCCCACTTGATTTTTACGACTTTGCTATTCGCCATTTCAAGGAAACCCGCTGAGCATGACCTCTGTGAGCAACTTTGGAGCGATGGGAACTAAACTGATAGCCCGGCGACCCTCAGATTCAAATCTAATACTTTTGAAGACCGAACCAGATGCCTCTGACACCTCATTCATCCTACTGTGTATGGGTTCTGTCAAACTATAAACGAGTTCATCTCCTCGATCCTTAAACAAGGCAGTTGAAGGTAGTCATGACAGGGTGCTCTGTTCTTCGTCTGGTTTTGGCTTCATCTTCTATTGGAGCCAAACAATCCACGTCTTTGATGCTGATCACTTCAGGCCAGCAAAGTCGTCCTTCGAAGAGTTCCGCACACCGCAGCAGGTGAAAGAAATTGAAATGAAATTTGTACCTCTGTAATGACTCCACTGACCGGCGGCTTTCTTGGCTCGATTCAATGAATAGTTTAAAGAAGTTCGGTTGTTTGCACGCGTCATTACCTCTTCTATCTATTGGTCTTTCTTTGGCCACTACTTCTGGTCAGCCTTTAGGCAGCGTATCAGAGTTGTCAATGAATCGTTCCGGTAGAATGGCCTCCACTACCTCAGTCGAAGACGTGGATTACTGTGTGACCCAAGTCAAGTTTGGTGATGATTTCGTTTTGGGAGGCATACAGTTATTGCTGAGTCCATAACTTTTCTAATTTTGGACCAGTCTTTTTTGGCCGACCGCATTTTCTCGGTCGCTAAGGGGCAATCTACAGCACGGGCGTTGACCAGGGTGTGATCTGATACGTATAGGCGTTTCAAAAAAAGTGACGTCTTCAAACAGAATTTTTTTCACATCTGTATTTCTGAAGCGCATGTAGAGACTATCGGAATTATTGTCGAGAGCCACTTTGAAGGCCCCCATATTGGGGTCGAACACGGGGAGGTCAAAGTGGTTGTCCATGGTCTTATTCGATTGGCCACCGGGCCATACAATATTACCATCTGCTGCTACGTAGTTTATCTGAGCGCTCGATTGGTTGAGATCGGGAGAGCCCTCTCAACGCGACGCTCACGTTTATCCTGAAAGATTGTGCTTGCGACAAATAGATGATGATCAGCTATCTTCGCTGTCGCATCTACACCAAATCCCCCGCCAAAATGACCCTATACGGCTGTTTCACTATTGTTACGAATCATTAACAATGCATTTCTCATGAATCTCCAGCGTATTCGAACAGGACGAGATCCCGATTGAAACAGCCCCGAGTCTCCTCATACTGTCAACATAGTGACTCAGGAGGAAGGATAATTCACACGACCAATGAAACTTCCACCTGAGCCGTCGTCACTCGAGCAGTCAGTCAACATGTAACCCCGTGATGTGAATTCCTAGATTGAAGCGATTAAGTGAGTGTCAGACACTGTTAAGCCATTCGGCTTGGACTTCAACTACGAGCTGGAAGGACACTGGATAGGATATCCCTGGAGGTCAGTGAAACGGCACTCCTGATGATTCTGGACAGGTATGCTACAACCATGCAGTTCATCTAGAGGACAAAATTTCGACCGAATTTTCTAAATCTCTTCATACTAACAGAATTTCCAGATTAATCCGTTTGGTGAATATTCCTAACTTTTTACATCTATTTTTCGCCATCTGTTTTTCACGGCAAGCTGCGCATTACTTTCCACTTAAGTTAGAATTCAGGTTTTTTATTAGAGCTTGCTAGCAGATTCAATTTGCTACAAGTTTTTAAGAAGGTGGCCGTCATACCAGCTCAGATTTAGCTAGGTTTACGGAACTCAATGTGTACTGTGTGTGGGATGAACCCGAGAGGAACCATCTTAGGCGGGTTAATCAGTAGAGAAAGATAAATCTCGTTGAGTCACTGTGTAGTCTCCACAAGTCTCTAGGAGACGAAGT